GCCCGTGTCGCCCGTATCTAAAACCGCTACTGGTAACACCTCCAGATTTGACATAGAAACACTCATTTTTAACACTCGATTTTAACTACTATCATTTTACACCTCAGAGTTACATTAAAAGAATGTGACTCTACTTAGAGTAAAATTAACTCTACTTTTGCAAGAAGACTACTAACACCAATACATTTAACACTTTTGAATTTGCTGTGTACAGAGTCAGCAGGAGAAGGCGTCATCACTTTGTGCTGTTTGAGTAGGGAATGGAGGAAAACCTGTTTTTATTCTGTTTTTTATTTGTACCCCAAAAATCTGATAATAGACAACATAAACATTTTTAACTCTTAATCTGATTAAAGTTTAGCTGTTTGAAGGTTAACTTAAATGTCTAGTTTCAGTGTAATTCCAGGGGATCAGTATATGTTTTACTCTATTGAAATTATTTAAAAACATTTCACAGAAGATCTTCTATTTCCTCAAATCCAAGTTCTGATATGTGATATTCCAAACTGCATCCAGAGCAAAGGAACAGAAAGGTGTCTTGCCCTTTTCCCAGACATAAAGCTTTATCAGGCAAGGCAAAACATCAATCCTCCATGCTTTCACAGCCACACTGCTCTACTCATTTAGTGTTTGTCCATGTCTGCTTCAACCTCTCCCTAAAATCGGTTGTGTTCCTCTTTGCACCAGGTTTTACTAATCTTGATCTTTGGAAAATAGCCACTTAAATTTCTAGTTTCAGTGTGATTCAAGGGTATTTTTTACTATTTAAATTATTTTGAAACATTGTTAACTTCTTCACATGTAAATCACAGCATTAATTGCACCGAGGTAAACATTTTAAAGAAGAACTTCTATTTCCCCAAATCCAGCTTATGATATATGCACACCTCAGAAAAGCAGGCCTGAGACTGTGAGATAAGAGTGAGCTCTCAGCCACTGCCTTCAGCAACTGATCGTGGTGCACAGGTAGGGTAGTGTGCGGGCAGCTGCTGAGACGGTGCCTGCATTGCTAGGGTTTCCGGCAGAACAAAAGTTATAGAAAATACACATTAAGTTTTAAACATGGAACCCAAGATGATGTGTAAACCAAAAAGTTCAACTAAAAGTAAAACAAGTAAACAATGCTCATCATAATGCCTCATAGCTGAGGATAGAAGTAAATCTTGTTGTACAACATAATTTCAAATACCGTCATTAAGATGAACACTGGAAACCACCCAACAACTAAAAACTGCCCGCATCAGTGTTTGTTATGTAACCAGAACAATGTTTCATTTGGTTTATTTGTTTCTTTACATCCTGGTTGTTGTGCCAAATGGTTGCTGTGAGTGGATTCAAAAGTCCTGTTGTACAAACATTCAGATTAAATAATTTTAAGATCCAGTTTGATGCACATTCAGAACATTGCAGTGGCACAATATCACAATAATCCCCCAAACTCTTCAAATAAAATAATAAATCCAGGTCATAACAGTAAAAACACAGCACCACTGGTCAGATCAACTTTGACTACACCATGCAAGTTTACAAAAGATAAATGGATAAACCCCATTAATCATTAGATAAATAAATAAACCTGGACTCTCAGCAGCACTAACACTTTTATTACATAAAGTAAAACCATATAAGTGCTGATCTGCAGTCGTATGACTTCCAGTAACTG